GAGGGGCCCTAAGTGCGGTTCAGGGATTGATGGCGAGGAACCGGCAGAAACCTCAGGGCGGGCGGAGGGGCAGTAAGAGATCCCGGTCGGAGGACCGGGGTTGGGTGAGAAGGAGCTGGGCAGTGGTGGTCTCCACGGCTTTTCAGAGGCCACTTCAGTGCACCTGAGGGGGGCCCTGGGGAGGGGCAGGGCGAGCGAATGCCAGGTTCCAGCGAGTGGGCGGCAGGGCTTCGGGGAAAGAGCCTCGCTGACCCCGAAGGTGCCCATGTTTGCTAGGACCCCTCCCCGAGCCCGGCCCTGCACTAATCAGCTCCTTGTTTGCCCTCCCCAGAAGGATTTGAGAGAAGAAAGAAGACATGCCTGTGGTTTGTGGGGTCTCTGCTGGTGGTGTCCACCTTCATCCTGACCATCGGCCTCGCCGCCACCACCAGGACGGAGAATGTGACCGTGGGGGGCTACTACCCTGGGATCATCGTGAGTGCCGCAGTGCCTGGGTCTGCCGGGAGGGGCGGAGGGGCCGGGGGCCCCGGCGGACACAGATTTCTGTGAGGTAGTGACACGCTCCACCCCAGCCCCGCAGAGGAGGAGGTTAGGGTGTGGCTGTGGTGGGCTGCACAGCAGAGCACGGTCAAGGCTGCTGGTCAGCTGGCCACAGAGGGGTGAGTGTCCTGCACCGCCAGGTGGCCCGGTGGGAGCACGGGGTCCCAAGGAGTCGGGAGGGACAGGGGAGGGGTCAGAGCCCAGGGGTGGGAAAGGCCCCAGCCCAGTCTCCCCGGAGTCCCCCGAGGGAACCAGCCCTGTGACACCTGGATTTTAGCCCCATAAGACCAAACCAACCAAACCAACCGTCGGAAAACAGACATGGAGCTTTCCAAGGTGCCTGCCCCGAAGCCTCCATCGAAGACTCGTTAGTGACACAGTCGCGTGGGGACAGCAGGTGGAGGAGCTGGCGTCACCCCTCCTGACTTCCACTTCTGGGCAGGAATGCCAGTAAACCGACAGCCTAACCAGACCGGGCAACAGCAGCCCCCAAAGTCAGCATCACCCAGCGGAGTTCTGAACCAGGAACCCACGTCCTTGTGCTAGCAGTAGAACCTGCTCCAAGTGTCGGCAATGCACTCAGGGAACATCTGTGAAGTTGCCGTTAGCAGCTCTCGCCCTCCAAGGGCACCAGAACCTGAGTCACTGTGTCATTAAGTGCTGAACCAAGACTTAAAAACAGAAGTTTAATCTCACTGCGCTCACTAAAGTGTTATCAAGGTTAGTGACAACATTGGTAACATTTTTAGCAAGGATGAAATATTTGAAGACAGTTTGTAAAAATTGTTCATCTTTATGTGATTTTTACTTTTGTGTTTTGTGTGTGCTTTATAAGCCCACGTTCTCCTCCTCTGCGTAACTGACGAGTAGGCCTAAGGAAAGGGTCTGCGCTGAGTTTTCTCAGCGAAATCCCACGAGACTGCTGCTTTGCCCAGGTCCTGGGTGGGCGGGGAGCCTGGGGTTCAGGGCCGTGAGGATGCGTCCCCCCGAGTACTCGCAAAGCGTCAGGGTCAGCCTCAAGGAGCAGCTTTTTGGCCTGTTCTCCAGGCTTCGCTGATTCGGGATTTCACTGTGAGGTCACACGCACAGCAGCCTGGGTGTGTTCAGAGCCCTGCTCTGCGAGGAGCCTGATTCCGGGGCTGTGGCCAGGAGGAAACTGGCTTCCACTGAACGGTTCTGAGAGCAAACTGTGGACACGACAGATGGGATTCGCCCAACGAGGACGTGGATAAAATCACTTTTGTGGAGACACTGCGTTGACCTGGAGACCTAGAGCCAAGGGAGGGTCTCAGGGGGACCCCGGGTGGGAGGGAACAGACGCCATGACGTTTTGGAAAGAGGATTTTTTTTCAAATCCCCCAAAATGAAACTTAGTGAAATGTAACGGATGTATTTTGGCACTTTCATGCTGGAGTGGGATTTTGATATTCTGAGCTGTGAGAGGGACTGTTGTATTTTGAAGAAAACGCCCACCTTTCCTTTATTATTGGTGGAAACTGTGCACTCTGGTCCGGCTGCAGATGTGCCTGCAAAGACATCCCACATGAGCAGGTTGGATTTTAGTGCATTAAACTTGGCCCCACAGCCTAGGGCAGCCACAGTTGTGCTGGTCAGCTGGTCACCTGTCCCCAGGCTGGCTGCGGGCCAGCCCCAGATGGTCGCTCAAAGTCGGAAGCGCAGGGCTCACCTGCGGCAGGCGGGACTGCAGCGCAGCCCAGCTCCCTGCGGCCTGGGAGATGCTCCTCACCCGCTATTCTGAGCTTCAAGCTGAGGGGAAAGTAGGAACTTCCTCCACCAGGCCCGCACGCCCGGGCCGTGCTTGGGTGGAGGGACCCTTCTCCTTGACATCCACGCAGCCGTGTGGGTTCCCCCAGCATCGCCACGTCACTTGCGCCTGGGGGCTGAGAGCGGGGCTTCCTCCAGAACAGGCGGATCGATTCCCGCCCGGCGCCCGCCCCCAGCGGGAGTTCCCGCCCCCCTCGTCTGCTCGCCGCCGGGATCACCTGTCTGCCTGCGCACCCGAGTCAGCGCCCCCTTCCAAGCGGTGTCGTCTGCGTAGTGTTGCGGCGACTGGCAGCGCCCCTGAAACGCGCTCGGCTCTGGTTTCCTGTGACCCCACCCGAGGAGCCGATCCTTCTCCGACTCCTCCGGCCTCCAGAGGGCTTCTCCTGCCCCCGCGCAGCGGCGGGGCTACCACGAGGACGACCGACCGGTCAGGGTGAGGGGCACGGGCCCTCTTTTCCTGAAATCAGGTTAAACAGATGGGGGCATTAACGTATGTGAAGACAAGACCAGACGGGTCTGTTTCAGCGTTTCCATGCCAACCTGGTGGCGCCGGAGGCGCTCCCCCAACCCACCTCCGCTTAGCGGCTGGAGCTCCGAGGGGGCTGGCCGCCTGGCCCTCTGACAGAGCGCTTGGGTGGGCCGTCCCCTGTGCGTTGTCACCGCCCAAGGTCAGCGTTAGGCTCCAGGCCCGTGACCCGAGCGCTCTCTCTCTTGTCCTCCTTTGGTGTCAGCTGGGCTTCGGAGCTTTCTTGGGAATCATTGGCATCAACCTGGTGGAGAACAGAAGGCAGATGGTGAGCGTGGACATCGTTTCTGTCACGTGTGAGGGGGTAGTGGGTGGGAGGGGGTGTGTGGGTGTGGGGTGTGGGTGGGAGTGGGTGGGGGGAGTGTGGTGGGAGGGGGAGTGTGGGAAGGGGGTGTGGGTGAGGGGTGTGGGTGAGAGGGGGTGTGAGGGTGGGGGGTGTGGGTGGGGGAGTGTGGTGGGAGGGGGAGTGGGTGGGGGAGTGTGGGGGTAGTGGGTGGAGTGTGGGAAGGGGGTGTGGGTGGGGGGAGTGAGTGGGGGGAGTGTGGTGGGAGGGGGGAGTGTTGGGGGAGTGGGTGGGGGAGTGCATGGGCGAGGGGAGCACAGGCAGTGGCATGGGGACGGTTGAGCACCACCGTGTGCACGCGGCAGTGTCCAGCAGGTGCTGGCTGGTGGCAGGTGCTCGGAGACCAGCAGCCACAGTTAGGTCCTGCATTTAAGCACGTAGGTCAGTCAGGATATTCATGCTGCTTCAAAAGTAGACAATAAAAAGCTGAGAAAACGTCAGCTAAAGAGCGTGCTCGTGACTCGCACGCACCCGAATGTGTAAGAACATTTCCTCTTCCCTTGATCTCCTTTTATTCCGGTGCTTTACAGTGGAAACATTGAACCCTACTCAACGTGGACAGAGCGGCATAGCAGCCTCTGCCCACCTCCCAGCGTCGTCATTGTCTCTGTAACTGTTCCACTGTTCAGTCTAGAGGGTGGAATCTAATCACCAGAAATGGCTTCACCGTTATCTCTGACCTGAGAGCCGCCAGTCATGTCGGCTTCTGCTGCTGCCCCGTTGCGGGTGGCTTACTGCTCTCTCCCCACCCAGACAGACTGAGGAGCCCGTGGTTTCACTGGTGGCTCTGCCATCGGGCGTGGTCCCCGTGGCCAAGGATGGAGCTGTTATGGGTCTAAAGCAGTTTCCTCCCCCCACGGCCGTCCAGGTGGGAGCACTCAAACACATGCTGGAATCTTCCGCAACAGGGTTTAAAATCCTCAGACTAACTGAAGTCACTTAGAAGTCGATGAGCATGTCCCCTGGGGGGCAGGGCATCAGCCTGTGTGGGGGAGGGTCCCGGCTGTCCTTCCCGTGCCCCCTCTGCTTGGGGTCAGGGCATCACGGGCCCCTTACGGGCCCCTCCCCTTCTGTGCAGAAGCCCAGCTGGTCTCTGCTGCCCCCAGGACTGGGTGGGTGGGGCTGACACAGAAGGGCTGTGCAGGCAGACGAGGGCGCATGTTCCGAGGTCCTGGGTGCGCACGGCGTCTCTGGTGGGAAAGTGAAGTCACTGATTCCATCTCAGAGCAGTTTCAGCCACCCAGCGACAACCATCAGTAACCGTTAATAACAGCCAATAATTGCCAGTGACCGTCAGTGACTGTCAACGACCACGAGTAACTGTCAACATTACTTTGAGGCACCGGTTTCCCCCTGACTTTTCCCGAGTGAGGATCATCATCACCCACCCATTTCTTTCTTCATCAAATGTTTCCCAAGCATGCATGGCCCTGAGCTGGGCACTGGGCGGGGAGACTGGTCTCACGGACTTAGAGCTGTGCATGGAGCGTGGGGGGCGCTGGGGGAGGATGGGGAGAGGCAGTGGAGGCAGACAGGGCCTGGGGGTCTACTCCCAGGCTGGGATGGGAGTGGAGCTCGGTGGTTAAGGCTGAGACCCAGGGGCAGCTCAGCTCTGTCCAGCTCGAGATGTGTCGGTTCTGTTAATAGTTTCAGAGAACCAGCGTCAGTTCTCTTCACTGCTTGTCTGTTCTCCAGTCTCTGCTTTGACCTTTGTCACACCTGCGCCCCCAGCTTCTGGTTGGTGGGACCCAGGAGGCCCACAGGGCGTTTATGCAGTGTACGGATAGTCAGAGGGGAGATGAGGGCCAGAGAGGCCAGCAGAGCAGAGACCGAAGGACTGGACGCAGCTCTGATTTGATGTTGGGGGCCTGGCTTCACCTGGAAGCAGCTCGTGGGGGCTGCGAGGAAGGGAACCCAGGGCACGGGCTTGGCCCTCGTAGCCCATCCTGTCCCCTGGAGTAGCCACTGGGAGCTTCACGCCAAAACTGAAACCAAAGTCCCAGGGGTCAAACCAGCCCGAATGCCTGGTGGAACCAGTAAATACTTCAGGTTAACCAGGGTGGGCGGGAGAGGCCGTGTGGAGTCTGTGACCAGGGGAAGAAGCAACCAGCTGACGTGGGAAAACAGCTTCCAATGGAACCGTGCTCTCTAAGGTTACAGGCGGAGCTCTGCAGGCGAGCCGTGGTCTCTAGTCAGTGGCTCGGTTTTCACAGGGTTTGGGTGAGAAACTCCACGGTGACTTTAGGCTCCTTTGGGGACTGAGCACTGGTTCTCAGGCTGCGGTCGTGGCCACTGGAGAGAGTGTAGGGGTCCTGGTGGGTTTGGAAGGGTTGACCCTTGGCCGCTCAGTGGGGAGGACAGACGGGAATTTTTATACTATTTTTGCTGTTTGTTTTGGTAAACCTGAAATCATTCATAAGAAAAGATAGAAAAATGTTGAAGAAATGGCCAACAGATGTGAGCAAAGGGCCTCTGCCTCCGTGAACACAGAGGAGTGTGTTTGAGGGCACAGGGAGCCTTTTTTGCCCATCAGCTCGGAAACCCCGAGGTTGGCCCTAGGCAGCATCTCCAGGCTTCGGGGGCAGGTGGCAGGCTGCGGGAGGAGCAAGCCCGCAGCGTCCTCTCGGGTGCTGAAGCGCGAGACCCTGCCCACGGAGCCCCGACTGCGAGCGTGGGTTCCTGCATGTCCCGGGAATCCACCCCGCAGAAATACTTACGCGTAAGCCCAGAGTTTTACATAGAACCGTGTAGCAGCGCTGTATTTGCAAGATGTCGCAGACGGTCACACTGCCCTGAAAGCCCCATCACCTCCGTGTGGGGCGGCACTGCATGCTCTGGGGTCCTCGGCCCCTCCCTCGCCTCCGGGGGCCTGACGCTGGCCTTGAGGGTCCGTCTGTGCTGAGCCCTGCCCTTCTGCTTCCAGCTGGTGGCAGCCATCGTGTTCATCAGCTTCGGGGTGGTGGCCACCTTCTGCTGCGCCATCGTGGACGGCGTGTTTGCTGCTCAGCACATCGTGAGTTTCCTTCACTCTTCCTGATGTTGGTCTCAGTTACTTTGGGTTTTAGAAAATCTGCAGAGTTAAGTTTCCTTTTGCAGGCGCAGCTCAGCACCCCCACTGTCTGTCTCCCCACTGGTGTTGGCCGACCGCGGTCTTGTCCCTCCTGCCCCTCGCTTCCTCCCGGGCTGACCCGGCTCTCCCCGCCGCCCCCGCCCGCAGCCCCAGCACATCATTGGAGCCAAAGTCCTCAACGCCCCACCGACTCTCCTCAAGTCTCTTTAAATCAACAATCTGCTGCCCTATGACTTCCCAGGTTTTTAGCTCAAATGCATCTTTCAGGAGGAGTGGCAGAATCTTCTGCCTCCGTGGCACCTGACGGCGTGGAAGTCTGGGCGGACGAGCCTGGCAGTGGATCTTTGAACGTGAGCCACATCGGACGCTTGTGGCTTGGACCTGTGGGGCCCCCTCGGCCTCGGCACAGATCACATAACGCAATATTAAATTGCGTTAAAATCAGCCAAGGCAGCCAGCCGAAGGAAAAATGCAAAACCCGTTGTCAGACCGCATTGGATGTGTCCGGATCCCTTTTCTGTGTTTGTGGAAGTTCTGTTGCACGGTCAGGAAGCGGTCCTTCAAGTTCCAGTCAGGCAAGTCCGAGAGCGTCAGTTGGAGTGCAGTGCAGCGGCCGTCCTCATCAGAAGCACCGAAGCGCTTGCCTGACCATCAGCCCCGTTTCCCTTGAAGTGAGCCAGCCCTGGTCACGTGCAGTGGTGCTTCCTGCGTTCGTCCACCAGTTGGTACCTTCGTCTTAGGACTCAAAGGTGGGGAGACCGTCGGGTCTGTGCTGGCGCTGCACCTGCTGTCTGCTTGCCAAGGGGTCTTGACCGTCACCCTGTCCCGCTCGAGCCCCCTTCTCAGCCCCCGTTCCAACGAGGCTGCCACAGTGAAGTCATGGCTACGTTTCCTGAGGAACCTCATTAGGCATTCTATGGCCTTGGACAGAAGTGACTGGGCTGAGATGCAGACTCAGTCACGTTCACTGCCCCACCCGCCTCCAAGCTCGTCCACGGGTACAGCAGCGTGTGACCGTGCTGTCGGGGCTTCTGCTGTGGACAGAGTGCTCCCATCCCCCAGACTGATGTGTTGAAACCTTACCTCCAGAGAGATGGGTCCTTAACAGGCGATGAGGCCCTGAGGGCGTGGAAGGAGGGATGGATGGATGGAAGATGGGTGGGTGGTTGCGGGTGGAGGGATGGAGAGACGTACAAGTAGAGGGATGAATGGATGGGTGGCTGTGGATGGAGGGATGGAAGGATGGGTGAGGGGTGGATGAACGAATGGAGAGATGGACGAGTGGACGAGTGGATGGATGCATGGAGCAATGAAGAGATGGTGGAGTGTTACGTAGATGGTTGAATGATTAAGCCATCAGATGGACGATTGGCTGGTTGGATGGATGACGGAGTTACTCTGAAATCCGTCTTGCTCCTTTCCTAGTAGTAAAAAGAGTTTTGCTTTTAGGAAAAGAGGTAGGAGCCAAGGAGTCTCTCTGGGCTGTGTGTGAGTGCACAGTCGTCTCCCTTCAGCTGCCTTGAAGTTGGGGGAAGACGCGTCCATCTGGCCGCAGGGCAGGGCGGCTGCTCACCCACCCTCTGGGCACAGGAGCCCAGCTGCCCAGGGATGAGCCACGTGCTTCCTGCCTCTCGGTCTCCTTCTGGGAGGCTCTGGTTGGTGCTGGCGTCTCCGCTTTAGACTCAGCGTCTGAAGTCGCCTCTGGCTGCTCTGGATTTGGGGCTGAAACCACTCCATTCCATTTGTGCCTCGTCTCCAGGAACCCAGGCCCCTCGTGGCGGGAAGGTGTCAGTTTTACTCCAGCGGAGTCGGATACCTGCACGACGTCTACCAGACGGAGGTAAGCAGCGGGGCCGGTCTGGCTCCGCGACCCGGTGGTCTCTGCCCGTTGACCTCACACACGTGGGTGGCGGGGGTCCTCCTGCCGGTTGCAGAGCGCTGGGGGAGGGAGGAAGGTGCATGTTTCTGCCCCAGTCTTGCTGCTTTCACATCAAAAGCTGCCCAAACACCTGCACCCCAGTGCCGCAGGCGCCCGAGGGGAGGCCTGCGGGTGGCTTGGGGTGTGCCGGCTTGGTCCAGTCGTGCTGCCCGGAGCCCTCTCCCTCCCCTTGTCCAGTGAGTGTTGGCCACCTGGCCTCCTGGGGTGGCTGAACCTAGTCCTCGGACTCCTCCCAGCCCTGCTGCACCCGGTCTGGGGGAGGGAGGGGTGGGTCAGGAGGGGCAGTGGTCTGACTGAGGGGCAGAGTGGCTGGGTCCCCCCTTCCCCCAAGGGAGGCCTCTGCCCACCTGGAGTGAGGCCGGCGGGGACCTGACGGGTCTCTGCTCGCAGGTCACCTGTCACTCCCTGAACGGAAGGTGTCAGCTGAAGGTTAGAAGCAACACCTGCTACTGCTGTGACCTCTACAGCTGTGAGAGGTGAGAGGGGCCTGACGGCTGGGGGAATCAGAACCCTCCCTGCATTGTCTTTTAAATTTTGTGTTACTAGCTTGAACGCCTACATTAGAACTAGCAGGGAGCTGAATGTTTGCTTCTTGGGGCCCCGTCTCTGAATTGTGGAAAACTCTGGGGGTCTAGGCTGCACCCCCTCCCTAAGAGTGGGGATCTACCCCGTTTCCACCCCAGTCAGGCTACTGGCAGCTCCTCGTGGCCGGGGCCATATGATGAGATGCCGTGGTCTAGACCCTGCACAGACCTCCGCAGGCCCAGGCCACGGGGCCAGGATGAGCCTCACTGGGGCTCACCCTCCCGTGTTCCCTGCCAGGGCGGCCAGGTGGAGAGGGCTCTGCTGTCAGCCTTTCTGCCCTGCTGGCTCTGAGGGCGACCAAGTCAAGGTTCCATCTCCCAGGGCCTGTGTTTGGGGCAGTCTTTCCTGCTCAGAGGCCTGTGCTCCCTCCCCAGGTGGACACCAAGCTCCCTGGGGACAGCCTTGCCCCGGGTCTTCAGGGTGCGCTCAACAGACAGCCCCGTCCCTCCATGGTCAGGGCCCCGGGACTTCTCAGCAAACGCCTGAGCACCTGGCTGGACACTGTGTCTCTGAGCCACCCTGCTCGCGGGATGCGTCACCTCAGTGCAGGTGTGGGTGACGCTGTTGTCCCCCCTGCCCCCGCGCAGCACTGAGCACCCTCCCGTCTACTACGAGTTCGTGGGCGTGAGCAGCTGCCGGGACGTGCTCCACCTGCACCGGCTGCTCTGGGCCTCGTTGGCACTCAACGTCCTGGGCCTGTTCCTGGGCATCGTCACTGCGGCCGTCCTGGGGGCCTTCAAGGACGTGGTGAGTAACGCCCGCCCCGTGCTGAGCAGACCAGGCCCACGGCCCCATCACCCTCACTCACAGATGAGGGGACAGGCCGGTGGGGCCCAGCCTCAGGGCTGTGCGTGGAAGCAGGGCCCTCAGTCCCCTCCCCACCTGAGGCTGGAGCCACTGAAGCCCACGCAGGGGGCACGACTTCAGCCGCAAGGGGACCTGAGCCTGGCACCCCCATGGCTGTGTCCACATGTGGATTGCCGGGGCCTCCCTCCCTCCCACCCCAAGCTCAGACGACTGTGAGGCCAGCCTCCTGGGAACGGGCTCCAGAGTCTGGGGCCTCCGGGGAGGGGCAGCTCTGCAGGGCCCAGGCCGGAGGCTGCTCTCGGGCTCTCCGCAGGGCAGTGTCCTCCCCAGGGACCCGTCTGTTCTGATTTAGGTTCTCACTGGGGCCAGACGCCACCTCCTGCAATGTCACCCTTCCTCCACAGACACCAAGGGGAGCTCACAGCCGCCCGGTGCCATCCAGCGCTAACGAAAACACAAATGTGTGCAAACACAGCCCCCGCAGGCCAGACCCCAGCCCCGTCCGCAGCTCAGACTGCCATGTGGTGGCTTGTCACCACAGCCCGGAGGCTCTGGCCATTGGCCACGTTTCTCAGCTTACCGGGAGCCTCCGAGATGTGACATGTTTCTTGAGGGTTCCCTGGCTCCAGACAAAACCTGAGATGCCACCGAGACCCTAAGCCCCATAACCACAGCCGTCCCGGCCCTCACCGGGCAGTGCAGCCGCTTGGTCGTGGGATGTCTTTACACTCATGAGGGACGAGTGTCCCATCCTTCGAGGACGAGGGCCAGGAAGCCTGGCGTCCGCAGGGCCCCACGGTGCATCTGCACAATCCCCCGGGGTGGGGCCTTCCTGCTGTGGCCATGTCAGAGCTTTGCCCCTGGCAGATTATAGGAGAGCGAGGTTAGACCAGACTGACTCGCAGTGTGTCTGGTGAGCGTCCTGCCGGCCTGCGAGCTGGGGTAGAGGTTGGCCTGTCCCCGGGGATGGCGGTCAGCCCAGTGGGTTTCCGGAAGCAGCTCCAGAGCCCACTGAGGTTACGATAACCTTGCTGGAGTGTTCTCTCGGGAAGGTAGTAATATCCTGGGAAGGCCCTGGTCACACAGGCAGGACATGGAGTTCTGTAGACTCTGGACAACCTCCTTCCATGAACCCAAAGCTCTGGGGGGTTGTAAGAAGCAAGGCAGGTGATTCCTTAAAGCAACTTTAATGGACCTTATAATTTAGGAATTATCTTAAGGGATGAAGACACTTCACTGACCACCCAAAGCCCTCGGCACTGAGGGCCGGGAGGGCCGGTCACAGACAGCTCATCCTGAGGGGAGCGGGGGAGCCTCGGGTCTGCAGAGGGTCTCCCGGGGCGGGGTTGCTCCAGCATCGTGGCAACACTTACAGACACCCGGCTTAAACTCAGCTGAAACCAGTCTGAGTGAGGAAGGGTCTGCATTGGCCTCGGGTATAAGAAGGCAGGTGGGAAGTCCTGCTGGCCCAGCCGGGGTCACATCGCAGTCACGGGGGCTCAGGGGTGACAAGGTGGACAGGCGGTCATGCCAGACTGGGCAGACGCGGGACGGGAGGCTGGGGGTGGGGTCCAGCGTCCCCCTCGGAGTGGCCGTAGTGTCCCGGAATGAGGCTGCCTCGTGGGAGACCCCAACCCCTGTCCCCCCGGGACCCTGAAAGGCTGAGTAGGGCTAGGCGGCTCCTCTCTGGCCCTGACCCTCGACCCTCACCAGCCCTCTCAGCCCCAGCCCCCAGGCTCTCCCCTGTGGCCGGGAGGCCCCCAGCCACGCCTTGGACCCTGACGGCTCTCCGTGGCCTTGGGGCGCGGCTGCGGGCTGAGCCGGCTGGGTCAGGGCGTGTGCAGCTGGCGCTCGGCTCTGCTCGTTGGCGAATAAGGTGTCAGGGCGTCGCGGTGGCTGAGCTTGGGCTCTGCCTCGAGTTCTCCGTCCTGTGTCCCTGCTGCTGAGCCATCGGCTCCCTCCTTGGAGTTCGACTGACTCCTCGATGCAGTTCAGCGACAGGCAGGCCTCGTGCTGAGCTCCTGGTAGGAGGGCCTGGCTGGCGGGGCAGCTCTGGGGGCTCCCTGCTCCCCCTGCCCCTGCAGGCCCAGCCTCCCCACTGCCCAGCCCAGCCCTCAGCCGGCTCTGGTCACCTCCAGTGCTGCGATGAGCTTTCAGACCCTCTGCCCCTGCTGTGTGGCCCCTCCCCAGATCCACGGTGCCTGCCCCATGGCAGTCAGGCGGGAACCCAGTTCGTGCTCTTAGGGAAGGGTATGCCTCTGGTCTGGGAACCCTGAGGCCCCCAGGGGAGTGACTGGCCGCCCTCGGGGGAGGAGTCTGTCCCACGGCCCGTCCTCCCCCGGGGCTGGGTGAGCAGCCGAATCAGGCCCAGGTCCCGATTTCCCCTGGGGAGTCAGAGCCTCCCGTGAACTGATGGGAGCAGGAATTTGGGAAGTTCTGGTCTCGTCCGTGCTTCTCCAGAAATCCCTGCAACCAGAGCTCTCCCTCACAGCTGGGCCACGGGAGCACCTGTGGGGAGGGGCCCCCAAAGCCAGCCCCTTCCTCGTGGCAGCTGCGTGGGGACCCCACGACACAGGCCCCTGCAGTGGAGGGGCTGGGGTCTTCCTGCTCTTTCAGAAAAAGCACCAAGAGAGCCTGGCCTAGGCTGGCGGGTCCCTGGGACAAAAAACCGAGAAAACGAAAAGCGGGACTGAGCCCCCTTTTAGGGAGAGAGCCTGGCTGAGGACTCGGGACCCAGAAGGACGGCGGCTGGGGGATGAGTTTCTCAGAGAGGGGTCGGGTGGAGGGGCGCACGCCTGGGAGGGTCGGCTGACGCGTCTCCACCCTCCTGGCAGGTCCCTCTGTCCCAGCGGGCCTATGGCCCGCCTGCACCGCCCCAGATGCTGTACAACCCCGCCCAGCAGGTCCTGGCCTACTCCGGCTTCTGCCCTGCGCCCGCAGCCCTCCCCACCTGCTCATCCTTCCCGCTGCCTCTCCAGGTAGGCTGAGCGTCTCCGGGCTGAAGCCGCTGCTCACGTCATGGGCAGTGGTCACTTAGCCGTCGGACAGGGTGCAGGGGTGGAGGTGCAGCTCTGGCTGAAGGTCAGGGGGCCTGTGGCTTCCCCTCCTGATGTAACAGGGCAGTGCAGTTGGCTTGCACCAGCAAAGGGTTCGGGACAGTCTAAGGGGACGTGGAGGGTGACCCCAGGCCCCTTGCCTGGACGTCCAACAGCTCTCCGGGGCATTTGGGGCATCCTTTGCTCTGTGTGGCCCTGGTGACCCAGCCAGCCCACAGAGGTTCCTGTCCAGAGTGAGTGAGCCACCCACCCACCCACACATCACCGACACTGGGACACTTGCACAATGCTGGCCTTGGGGCTGCTATGGGAAAGGGGGCATTTGGAGGCCAAACCTTGTTTACAGAGCAGTGCCCCCGGCCCACCCTCCCGCTGCCGGCACACCCCCGTTGAGATGACAGACATGTCCCCAGCTGTCGCCTGTGTCCTCGGAGGCAGAGGTTAACCTGTCTTAGCCCCGGTGTTGAGGGCGACCTGGTGGACCTCCTCTGGGGTCTGTGTCGATGACAGTGGTGGTCAGCGACCAGTCCTGGGAGTTCCTGCTACCAAGGTGTGGGATGGGCTTTGCTTCTGCCCTTGGGCGGGCGGGGGCTAGGGGATGAACGAGGGGATGCCCAGACCCCGGCTGTGTGTTGTGAGGTCACATGCCTTCATTTGTTTGGGGGGCCAGCGCCCAGAGAGTGACATTGGCAGGACGTGACACCAGCTTAGGACCGGTGGCTGTACAGGATGGGTCTGTCTGGGGTGGATTCGAGGGGGGCTGAGGTGAAGGGACTGCCGTGTGCACCTGTTGCCTCATCTCTGTGCCCCCTCTGACTTGGAGGAGCCCGCAGACCCACCCCAGCTCACCCCTGGGTCAGTGAGGTCCGACGGCGCGTGTGGCTGGAAGGGGGTGTGGGGTCTCTGGACCTCAGGAAGTGGGGGTGCGGCATGTTAAGAAAGCCTGCAGGTCACGTCCTGCCGAGGACGGGCCAGCCGGGGAGAGTTCAGCGACGACCTTATCTCCCTGTGGGATTGCCCGTCCCCTCCTCTGTGCCCAGCTCCTTCTACTTGCCTTGAGAATGAAGCTGGTGGCTATGCACCCAGGGCGTTGGGGGCCTTGGAATTCATAGAGGAGGCTGGGACACAGCCTGAGGTCAATGCCACGCCTGTGCGGAGAGGTGGCTCACAGGATGTGCTGTGGGAGGCCTCCACCGGCCATCGCGGGTTGACCAGTTAGCCAGTCGCCATCCTGCCCTGCAGGGTGGGTCCTGAGTCTGGGCATGAGAGGCCCCTGTGAGCCTGGTCTCCACTGGAGAGAGGCCTGGCTCCAGACCTGGGAAGGGACTATCCAGGGGTCAGGAAATGAGCTGGTTGCTGGCGCCCCCTGGTGGCGTCACTCCTGAGGGCGGGCACGCCCTGGTGTCACGGGGCACAGCTTTCCCAACACCCAGGCCATACCTGCAGCCCCCGCCTTGCCCAGAAGTGTCACCCGCATCCCACCTCCGGGCGTCCTCCCTGGTCCCCATCACAGGAAGGATTGCGTCATCTGGGCTGTGTCCTGTGTCCTGGGGGCTCTGCTTGGCCATCCTCATCTGCTTAGTTTGCAAACCTGGAATGTGAGACCCACAGCTGTAGGGAGCGCTGGACCCTCGGCTGGTTGGCCACCTGTGGTCACAAACCCAAGCTTGAAAATGCAGTCAGGGAGGGACCCACACTCCCTGCATGCTGGCTGGTCTTGCCACCCCCACGTCCACCTTGAGGTACCACAGCCGCTCCCACACACGGGAGCTCCCTGACCTGGGAGGGAGGCCATGCTGTGCCAGCATGGCTGGGAGGTGGAGATGACCCCCACAGGGCCCCTCCTCTGGTCTCAGCCCCGACATTCGGGCTGGGTTGTCACCAGCCTCCTGCAAGCTTGGCCAAAGGGAGGACTGGGGGAGGACAGGGCCTCATCCTGCTGGTGCTGGAGGCCGACAGCAGCTGGTGCTCTGCTCCCTGAGCTCGGGCACTGGGCGGCTTCCTGCTCCTGTCCCCTCAGGGGCTGTGGTCCTTGCAGGAGTACAGGGTGGGGCATGGCCTCCGTCCATGCAGCTCAGTGCTGATGAATGGACCACTTTATCCGGTGTTGGACCCCATCCTCATCCACCTTGCAGCCCTGGCTCTTCACAAACAGCAGATGCTCCCCGTTCTCCCTCCCGAGGAGGCCTGGGCTCCCCTCCCGGGGCCTCATCAGCCTTTACGCCAGCGCACATGTGAGTGTCATTCCACAGACGTCAGTAATCAGATTTCCGGGAGATGACAGTCAGGGAGTCTCTGTGTTTCCTGAGAAGAAAAACACAGGTTGATGCTGCTGCTGTTGACCAGCAGAGGAGGCAAGGGGGTGTTTCAGTGCTCGTCAAAGTCATCAGCAGTGGAGATGCTCTCACATAACAGCAAGCAGCGAGCAGCTACTGGCAGGCTGTTTTGAGCAGTTAGTCAAAAGAGAAATCCAGAAGGGAACCCACCTTCCTTGCTCCCAGGGCCACCCGACCAGGACGTGCAGGGAAGGGCTTGGCGCTGATGAGCTTTCAGGAATAGGACATGCTGACCATCAGCTTGCATCCCGCAGCTAAGGGACCTCAGGCCCTATAACCGAGGGACTTGCTGTCTGTTCCTCTGACGGGGTCGCCTGTGTGGACAGAGCCTAGTTTGCTCCGTAGTTCCTGGTGGTTTACTCTGTGGTCCGTGGTGGTTTACTCTGTGGTTCCTGGTGGGCTGCCCCGTGGTCCGTGGTGGTTTACTCCACGGTTCCTGGTGGCTTACCCCGTGGTTCTTAGTGGGTTGCTCCGTGGCGGTTTACTCTGTGGTTCCTGGTGGTTTATTGTTTCCTGCTGGCTCGCTCTGGCTCCCACTGGTTTAGTCCATAGTCTAGTGTGCTTTAGTCCCGGTTTTCTCAGCTGCTGTCTCCTGTGAAGCACTGAGCAGACACGTGCTTGGAGGGAGCTGGGAGCCCCTAGCAGACCTGAGAGGGTGTTCTCTAGAGGTTTGCTTTGTCCCCCGAGGTCAGATAAGTGTGAATTTGAGAGAAAGGAAGAAAGAGAGGTGGGCAGGAGCCCAGGGCCCTTGGACTCCAAAAGCCCCAGCTGTCGAACCTGAGCTCCAGCTTATGAGAAAAGTCTCCTTTCAGATCCTGAGGTCTGAGGCGTCTCTGGAGTTGGGGGTGGGGCGGACCGGCCTCCCCAGGACCTGGGTAGCTGGCAGGCGGGCAGCAAAGGAGCCACACCGTATGGCCACAGACTGGAGCCCGCACACATGCCTGTGTCCTGTTGTGGGGGGAGCTCGCTTTATTTATTTAATATTGGTTTAAAGCAGGCATTTTTAACCCTTAGAAATTAAGAAATAAAAAGAAACTTAAGGTTTGTTGACAGGTGGGAAAAAAAGCTGGAAATTTCATTGATTTAGAATCTGTGCCACGCCCCAACGTTTCCTTCACAGAATCACGTTTTCTTGCGTCTACGTGTATTAGTGTGGCTTCTCCAGAGAAACAGCTGACAGGGTGTGTGCGCATAACAGACTCAGACACAGATATGTCTGCAGCTACAGGTGTCGATGCTACAGACAGAGGCGTACAGGTAGAGAAATGGAGGTAGAGAGAGAGTCAGAAACCTGCAGGGCAGGCCACAGATTGGAGGCCCCTGGAGGAAGGGATTTTGCAGATTCGAGTCCCGTCAGTCTGGAGGCAGAACTCTCTGTTCCTCAGGAACCTCAGTCTTTCCCTCTTTGACTGATCAGAGGAGGCCCTCCCACAGCGAGGAGGGTGGTCTGCTGATCTTCCTGGTAATCGTGGCTAGAGAACACCCTCAAAGTGACCTCCGGACTGTCTGAGCAAAGATCTGGGCACCGAGGTCTAGCCAAGTTAATGCGTAAGGTTAACCATCACACTGTGTTGAAAATATTCATGTTCTTGGTTTTTTTCCCTTAAAATATGAAGTGTCGAGTCAACCCAGGGCCCCTAGCAAGCCGTGCAGCCTTTTCCGCAGACAGGGTTCGCATGACCGTGTCCCGGCATCAGGCCGGTCGATGGCCACCCCATCGAGGGTTGAGACTGGTGCCCAGCAGGCAAGGCCAGGAGTCAGGGATCTGCAGGGCATTCCTGCAGGTGGTGGATTGGCGTTTGTGCAAAGGGGGCCCCGCTGGGCTGAACTGGGCCCTCCGTCCGGCCCCTGGGATTGCAGGCTGATCAGGGAGCAGGTCCCACTGGGAGGGCCTGGGTCTGGGGAGATTGAGCTGGGGGCGCTCTGGAGGGCGCTGGTGGCACGCTCCTGGGCTGCACGTGGAAGTGTGTGTGGCTGCCCTCCTGCCGACTGAGGATGCTTCTCTGTTTAATTGCAGCCCTCCAGCGGCCTCCCGGCCTTGCCCAGCGCTGACCTCTCTATGTCTGAGGACACACGGCCTCCGTCTCAGTCCAGCTCCGGCTGTGGGGGCCCCCCCAGTGTGCCCCCTGTCTATGCTGCCGCCCACGTCCTCCTGGGGGAGAAGCCGCCCCCTTATGCACCCTGACCAGAGCCAGAGATCGAGCAAAATCTCCTTGGGGTTGTTAGAAAACAAAGCTGTGTCTGCAAGCCCTGCTTCCGTGGCTCAGCCTCCTGGACACGGCACAGCACCTTCCAGAGGCTGAGCCCCTTCCCTCCCGGGGCGAATCACAGGGGCACAGAGCCCCGGGGGCCGTGGGCGGCACCTCCAGGTCAGCTGCACACCAAACTGCGGGTCCCCATGCAGGGCCCCTCGCTCGCTGACAAAGCAGCTTCACGCCCTCCTGTCGTCCTCGCTAGTCATTGCGTCATTTTGCGAAGGGCATGTGGCCCCGTGCCGCGAGAGGAGGGGCTCTTGGAGGGGACATGCTGTGGCTGTGTCTATTGGTCGTGTCCCCAGGGACACGTCTGCTCCAGCGACCGGACTCCTGGCTCACATATAAATGCTGTTTCCAAAGCCTGCAAGTGCCTGGGGTCCGTGCTCCTTTCCAAACGCCGACCCGCTGAGGGGACGTCTGCTCCCTGTGGTTGCCCGTTTCCTGTGTGAGGCATCTGTCTTCTGTGGAGTGTGTTGGGGGAGCCCGGCCTGCTCTGGGGGGCACCCCGAATGGGCCTCCCCCAGCAGCTGTGCCCAGTACAGACCTGAAGCTACTACCCCAGACCCCCGGGCACCTGCCCACTGCAGACACACCTGAGGGAGCAGGTGAGCACGGCCCTGCACAGTCGAGTCCTGGCCCAGTGGCAGACCAGATTTACAGTCCTGGGTCTCTGGGGAACAGGGGAAGTGGGGGAGAGAGGAGGGACGGGGAGGGGGGCGGCTTAAGAGGACGCGGTCTCCTGCTCCCCTGCGGGCTGCAGGCACATTTGGTCTGACAGACAAAATACCCCCGGCCCTCGCGTTCGGAAAACACCCCCCGCTCTGCTTCCTGTGCCCGTCAAGCATTTCCTCTCGAGGAGGGAGGGCCCGGAGAAGAGTCTGGGCCCTCGACTCAGGAGGGCCTCTTGTTACGGACGAGGCAGGCAGGCCCGGACGCTGGTCAGGGCGTCTGCCATTCTGGTCCCGGCAGCCCCCTGGCCGTTCCGGGCAGCAGAGCCAAGACTGCGTGAGGTGAGTGACAGAACCCCTGGTTTCCCGGCTCGTGAACGATACTCACGCCAGGCTGCAGTCTGTCCAGGGCGCGTGGCTGGTGTTCATCCCCCAATTACAGACGCTTCATTGCCCAGAAATGCCCAATCATAACAGTAGCAGCGAAGATCACTGGCCGTGAATCACCACACAAATACCATAATAATGAACAGTCTGGGGTGTCCTGGGAGCCACCAGCAAGCGACGCAGACACGAGCGAAAGTACCTGCCCCACGCAGGGCGGCCCCGCGCCCCCCACTTGTGCAAACTCAGTCTCTGAGGAGCCGTAGAGCGAGGCCCGCCTGCATTTTGTTGAATGTGGACTCTGTGTTTCCAGGGGTCCTGACCCCGTGGGCCCCGCACAGCCCTGGCCTCTGTGGCCAGGACCTGGGGCTTGAGCCCCAAGGCCACGAACGCAGCGGTCACTCATTGTCAGCTTGGATTTTAGGTCAAACCATCCGTGGCCAAGCTGGCTGAATTGTTTGACTTGCTTCGGGCATATCGTAAAAAATAACACAACTGTCAAATTTAGAAGGAACAGTTCCATTGGCTGAGACGGTGCCCTCGGCCACACGTGGCCTTGCCGCTCCTCCAGCTGTCCGCCTGTGCCCGACTCAGTGGCCCCCGTGGGTCCCAGAGTCCCTCCCCGTCCGCCCCTGTCACCCAGACTCACTGGCCCAGGTCCACTTCCTCATGGCTTTGCTTGGCGGCTGCATGAAGAGCTAGGATCTGGTTCAAAACTCATCCTTTCTGGGGGCTTCAGGATCATGGCGGCAGGAGTTTGTGGGCTGGGGTGGCCTGGCGTGCACCGAGGACCCCACGGGACACGTGTCCTGACACCCAGGGTGGCTCTCACAGGAAGAGTCGGCTGCGATCTGGGGAGATCGTTTTTCACCAAAGAAACGTGCCTTGAACGTCCTGTAAACGGCAGTTATCAAGTGATTGACTGTCTTCCCCGCCTGGACTGTGCACGGAACAGAGAAGGTGCTTCTTATTTCTGAGGCTTGTAAGAGCCAATTGGGTCCCGCGGGCAGTTTTGCGTAAGGAAGACCAGTGCCTGCCGCCACCCCACAGCCGCTCAATCCTCCGCTCTGCGAGGGTCCCGCAGCCGCGCCCATGGCCGGGCGCCCCGGGCAGCGGGGGCGGGGTCACAGTGCGGGTCTGGGGACTTCCGCTGGCTTGCTCCCTGTGTCTGAGGGTCTGCTGCTTTTTTGGTACATTCGCTAGTTGTTGGACTTTTTTGGTTCCACACAGAAGTGACGTCATATGGTACCTCAGTCTGACTCATTTCCTGAGCAGGGTGCCCCCCCCGGGGCCATCCATGTTGCACCAGAGAACAAGCCAGCGGTGGCCAGTGTGGGGGGCAGTCTAGGGGTGGGGGCGTGGGAGGGTCAAACCACTGGGCGTGAGGCAGGCTGTAGGATGTGCCTGCGACACGGGGAACACAGCCAATGTTTTATAATCACTGTAAACGGAAAGTAACCTTCAAAAATAGTATAACAATAAAAAACAAACCTAGGGACTTTCAATAAAGTGTAAGAATTAGCAGCCGCAGACACGTTTTTACACTGAGGATCT